TAAAATCCTGTAATGTACTGTATATAATATAATAAAGTTATATGATTATTTGTTAAAGTTTGCTTTAACTAAAAAAAATTACTCGACAATCGTAAATATTAAAGTAAAATTTCTTATATAAATCTATCATTTTTTGTACAAAAATTTTTTGGTTTATTGTGATTAAACATTAATCGTATAATACTCACAAGTTCAAAAAATGGTATCCCACATTTCACTTCTTGTTGTCATAATTGCTATAAAAAATAGTCCCTTATGTATGCAAAGTCTTGCCAAGTACAAAATTTCTAAAGAATTGTCACAAACAATTAAATTCAAGTATTTCTTTACCACAAATCAATCATCTCATATATTTAAAAATAGCGATCTTGTATTTATCTCTGGTAAATACGTTGTTGAAAATTCCGAGCCATGTTTTATCATCGCATATTCAAGCATTGTCGATAACAAAAATCCAAATAGAGAATTTGATATGACCGCTATTTCTGTATACATTCCTCACTGCATATACTCGGTAGTCATCAATCGTGAACCAAAGGAAGTTAAAGAATTTATTCATTTTGGTGCTGAAACTGTTGAATATAATTCAGTTACAGGTAAATCTGATATCAAGATGGACTTGACAATAATTTATCCTTTCCAATCTTCTAGGTTTAAATATTTGGACCCTTCAGGCTCAAATATTAAGCCATGATCTACCTATTTTATATTTGGTCTTTTGAAATTTTCTAAGTCTGGAAAAATTATGATTGAGGCTACAGATATTGATTATCTTAAAACTTTGGCTATCAATATTATCACTTCTAAAAGCTCTTCTTTGACAAAAGCTAACACGCCATCAATCATTGATCTTATTGATGATGATATCGATTCTACTGTTACCCAGCCAAAGCAGCAACTTAAACCTTCTTTAACTCCAGTAAAAAATATTAATGCTAATGAATCAAATATCGAAGTTATTGGTTAACCATCAAATGATGATAATTATGATCAAAAAACTGTAAAATTAGAAGATGATAAAAACTTACAAGATGATGTTGATGAGCTTGATGAAGAAGTTCAACCTAAAAAAAGAGTGAAATCTGCTAAGGGAAACCAAAAGAAAAAGGGAAGAAAGTAAACATAAAAATTGTTAAAAAATTTATCAATTAAATTTATAATTCTTATAAAGTTCTGAAACCCATTTAAGTATGGAATGCTAATTAGTTGTGTACCAAAAAAATAAAATAAAATAAAATAAAATAAAATATATATTTCTTTAAATTGGTTTCGCTTGAAAATTTAAATTATTTTGTTGTCACATGTTTCAATCCCAGTTGTGTCACATATAAATTTCTTAATTAACCAGATTGAATTGAAAGCAACCAGTTCAATTAATAATATAAGTATAGCATCATTTACGAAGCGTAAATAAGGTATAAAGCATAAAGTGGTTCGTGTGATTAATAATGTAGTTAATTTAGAGTCAAATGAGTAGATATAAATAGAATAAGAAATGATAAAATGATTACTTTTTTTTTGTTTTGGTTTAATAGTAAAATTGGTTTCTTACCTTCGTATTGAGATGTCATTGCTTAATCCTAGTTTATTGTTACTAATATTCGTGATCATTAAAAATCACAATACTATTGCAAATAGTCATATTACTCTCTAAATTATTGGTTTTTGAATTAAAATTCAAACATGTTATAGCTCTTTTCAAGTTATATTTACTATCTGATAATCATTCCTGAATAAATTTTACTAGTCTATATAACTTTAAAAATTTTAAATTTCTTATTACAATTCAATTTTATAGTATTAATATTAGAGTATACTAAAACTATTAGAATGTTAAGTTGAACGATAGTAAATTTCTATAAATAATAGGAAGAAATAAGTAATTTTAATATTAATTTGCAAAATTAGCTACTGGTTTTGGTATATTAAATAAAATATTATGATTGACTTTATCCAGAAAAATATATGAAAAAAGTAGAACACGTATACAATAATTTATGCTAATTGATACTTGATAAATATTTTTTATTAACATGATTTGTAGCTAAATTCTTATATCATATTA